TTGCATAGCAATTTTGGACTCTTTATGAGTACAATTGACTCTTTTATGATCCATTGATGATAGCTAGTGTGCTTAGAATGAGATTCTACGGATGCTTATTGTGCTTCAATGTTTCAAAAAAAAAAAATTATGGATTGTTGAACTTTAGCAAATATCATGTCAAAATTTCTTGAAATACGATGCTTAAAATTTTCAAATCCTTGGATGCATGTCTCAGAATGTTGATGCCTAATGGATTGATTATTTGAATTGAATGTTTTTTTTACTTGTGTCAAATGTTTCAATCGTGTACCTATGCGTAGTTATGTGAAATATGGTCAATCAATGCTTGCATGATTACGATAGATTGTTCACCTAACCTATACTTTCGTGAGCTTTAAATTCCTATTCTTACGAGCTTCATTGCTTTATGAGATTAGATGATATTATCATAGTATAACCTATTATAATCGATGCCTATCTTAAAGAATTCCATATAGTTAGTTTATAAAAGATGTTGTGCTTTAAAGTGTGAGAGGAATCCCTTTTGTACTCATTTAATTAATCTTCTATGATGCAAACAAAGTGTTTGACAAGGTTTTGGGACATCCTCCAGATCCATCATCCGATGCAGTCTCGCACCCCAGCCCTAGTACTTGTAAAATGCCTCCATATCCAGCTCTCCTTGAGTCTCCACTCAAACTCTATCCTGCTTATCGACCTTTCTCCTCTGTGTGCGAGGTGGAAATTATAGCAGTGGATGAAGAATCACTGACAGTGACATAGGAATCTCGAGATCCTTGTCGCAACCATCCCTCACGATCGGAGTTCACCGTTTAATGCTCGAAGTCACCATGGACCTTAGTTGCAGCTTATTTACGTATTTAATTATAGGATTCGAATATTAATATATCTATTATTATGAGTTGATCATAAGTCTATTGACACCAAATCTTGGAGGTAAAAAATAATTTTTTGTTAGTTGGCCTTGTGTTTTATTATGTTTATCAAATATGTGTATTAGTGATGATGTAAATGAAACTTGAAGAAATAAAAGAAAAAATAGAGAGGAACACTAAAAGAACACAAGCCCCAAAACACAATAAACTAAAAACACATAAGCTGTTTTTCTTTTTCAGATAGAGCAAGGGGTCGTTTGGAAGTTAAGATTTCAGATGATATATTTAACCAATACATGTAATCAGAAGAATTCGTCTTTTTCTGCCTTAAACTGAAACAAAATACTTGTATTTGAACTGCAGATGGGGCCACCACAATCATTCATTATGAATGATTATCAATCTCAACTTTTAGTAGAGATTGTGTTTGAGGGATTGTGAACTCACTTTTTCTTCCTATTTTTTGAGGGACCAGCAAAATCATTCAATCTCCAAACTATGTATTTTTTAATTTCATGTATTGAAACAATGCATCTAATTATAATACATACATTGATTAAATACATCAACTTAAAGAATCATAACTTCCAAAAATATGGGGTCACCTTCACCACCTCGGGGTCACTCCAGCCACCTTCGGGATCCATAATATGGGGTCACTACGGGCATCTCCGGCTATCCCCGGAGTCCTTAACCTCGGGTCAACTTGGCCACCCTAGGTCACCTCAACTACCATATGGTCATCATTACTACACTGGAGTCACTCTGGTCACCCCTGATGTCAATCACCTCGTGTCACCTTGGCCACCCTGGGACAACTCCAGACCCTCATGGTCCATAACTCCGGGTCACCTTGGCTACCAGCTCACCACAGGTTCACTCCAACCACACCAGGGTCCATCACCATGTTTCACCTTGGCCACTCTGTGGTCACTCCGGCCACCCCGGGGAAAATCACCCCAGGGCACTCGGTCACACTAGGGTCACTCTGGGGGTTAGTCACCCCAGTTCACCCAACACAATTGGCCACATACTCTCATGACATGTCTTCTTCACCCCTAGCTCCTAGAGGAAGACACATACCCCCTTCATAATTACCTGGTGACCGTTATAAAATGCCACATTGTTTCTTTGTTAAGGTAATAAGAAAATTCTCATGTTTAGACTCGAAACACCCGCTATAATTAGCGAAGATACTCACCTTCAACTCCCTTCGCTCATGTTTCTTTTCGATGTCATATTCCTCTTTGACAAAATCATACTCTAATTTGAGCGTCAGAGAGTATCGCCGCCGAGATCGACCGACAAACCCTTTTTGCAAGAGACGACCAGAACTTTCATCACGAGAGTAGTTGGAGGTTAAAGGTGATCGTCGACCGACTGCGATGCACATTACAAAAAAACTCGATGTTGGTTACAACTCCAACATCGACAATACCTTTATTTAAAGTGTTACTAGTGTGCTAACACCAAGGAATGGTAGCATCATATCTCCTCCTTGCCCTTTCTTGACACATATGAAGTAGAAATTTCGCTAACTATAACATAATTTAATATGTTTTGTTGCTTAAATTGGATTCATCATCTCACAAAAGAAATGGATTCATCAATCACTCGAATTACTTTTTTTAAGGGAATCTGCATTCATTTCATTAATTTCTGTTATCCGTTACAGATGGCTCAGCCCGGCCTAGATCGGCCTCCAACATACACAAGATAGAGAATAGAGGGTTATCCACCCAAACAAAAGGATGATCCCACATACCGACCGAATGGGCCAGCCAATGAGCAGTGTTATTGTTCTTGCGGGGAACGAAGCTTCATTTCACCGGAATCCCAGATATGCTCTCATTCACCTCTGCCAAGCTCCAGATTTCCTCACACCAAAACCCCACCTCCGTCCTATCCCCATCCTTACTCAATTTCCGAATCAGAACCTGGCAATCCGACTCCACTATGAGAGGGTTGAGCTCCCTTCTATTAGCTTCTCTTAACCCCATCACTATTGCTTTCGTTCAGCCTCAACTGGCCTACACACTCCCTTCTCCTTTACCGCACAAGCCTCTATGAAAGCCCCCCTCCAATCACGAATGATACACCCCAACCCAATTCCAGTTGGCTTCAAGATACCTGCATCAGAGTTTAATTTGAACTCTCCCTCAGGCGGCGGCCGCCAACCATCAACTGGTGGATCCCTGATGCATGTCGAGGAAGTCAACTCCACAGCGCTGTGAGCATCAAGGAAGGAGCGAAGCCAGGCCAAAGCCCTGGGGATGATTTCGTCCTCAGCCAGTTTGATGTTATTGTTAAGCTGATTGCATCGTTCCTTCCACAGGTACCACATAATCACACAGAACCGTTGAATTTTTCCTTCATCGAACTGTTTCCACACTGATTTGAACCACTCAATGCAAGATTTCCCTTCTCCAATCTCATACATATCTTTCTCTTCCCATGTATTCCACCTACTCCTTATCCAATTGCATTCTCGCAAAGCGTGGAGTTGGTCCTCCGGGAGGCCGCAAAAATGGCAGTCCGGGCAAGCATCATCGATCCACTCCTCAATGTGGCAACCCACAGGTAAGATATTTCTCCCATCTTTCCAAAGAAAAATCCACACTTTCGGCGGAACATGTAGTTTCCATAGTTGTTTCCAGAATTCCGAGTCCTCAGACGAGGGGAAATAGTCTCTAGCCAGCTGATCTAGATATTGTTCCCTCGACCTGCAATAGGTAGTTTTAACAAAATAGACACCATTATTAGTATCCAACCAAATTCGTCTGTCCCTTGTTAGAGGGAATTAGATAGGGATTCTGGATATAAGATCACAGTCACTACTAGAGAACCTCTCCTGAAGTTTATCCATGTCCCATCCACCCCTGTCTTGATTGATCAGAGAGCAAACCATTTCGTTTTGGTCCATAGGAAAAGGATGTGGATCAGCATGATAGAAACTCTTTCGAGGGATCCACTCGTCCTCCCAAACCCGGATTGATTTTCCATCCCCCACTCTCCATCTGAATCCCTCTTTCACCTTGTTTTTTGCAGCTATTATAATCTTCCAGATAAAACTAGGTCTATAACCCTCTTTGGCATTAAGGATGTCTGTTTTCAGGAAGTATCTGGCTTTCAGGGTCCTAGCCATCAGAGAATCCGGATTATCCATAATTCTCCAAATCTGCTTACCAAGCATAGCGTAGTTGAAAGCACGTAGGTCTCCGAACCCCATTCCCCCAACTTCTTTATCATCACATAGCTCCTCCCGTTTTATCCAATGAATTTTTGTTTCTTTTCCTTTTTGTCCCCACCAGAAGTTGGATATCATCCGCTGAATTTCTTTAAGAGTGCCTTCTGGAATCAAGAACACCGACATAGGATAGAGACATTGGGCTTGAGCCACAACTTTTATCAATACTTCTTTGCCTGCCTGAGAAAGAGTTATGCCCTTCCAATCCTTCAACTTTTTCCGAACCCTCTCTTTAATCTCTTCAAACAACACTTTCTTAGATCTGCCCACCAACGTAGGGAGATCTAAGTTCCGAGGATGCTTTTCCACCTCCTTGATCCCTAACGTCCCACAAATCTCCAGTCTCCTGCTCACTCGCACATTTCTACTGAACGAAATATCAGATTTGCTAAAGTTGATCAACTGGCCAGATTCTTTAGCATAGGTACTCAAGATCCTTTTTAGCTGGTCACAATCACCAAGAGTAGATCTTCCAAAAACCACACTATCGTCTGCAAATAGAAGGTGGGAGATCATAGGTGCTTTTCTTCTAATATGAATGCCCTTCAGCTTGTTGTCCTTCTTTGCCTTTTTAATGACAGCCGAAAAACCCTCAATCACTCGAATTAATATTGAAAATTATAGTTGTGTTAGACCTTGTTTCTGCTTCCCTCCGTCCATAAACAGAAGACTTAGATCTCATAAACAAATTTTGGTAACAAGTCACAGAACAATTTGGGCTACTTTCCCAGTTTCCCTCACCATGAGTCCATGACTTAGATCTCTCCATTTCCCTTAAAAATCAATATCAGGGGTGAAAAATTAATCGCACTTCGCACCCCTCATAAATACATCCAATATTCCAACCAATAAGTTTAAGTTTTGACCAAAACAATATACGTCTGGAAGTACATCAATCTCCATATAAACAGCATGGAGACAATAAAATCTATCTATTGGTACAAATTACATTTATTTTGAAATACATCCAAAGAAACAACCTCAAGGAATGGTCTTGAAAAATTTCGTCACCAAGACCAACTCAGCATGCAGCCCGCTCCTCATTGCTCACTCCATCCCCTCCCTGCAAAATCACAAAAACAAACAACCAAGCATGAAGAACCCATTATAGAGATGCAAGCATAGAGGCAACAGAGCCAAACCCAGAGACGAACACAAGAGAATATAAAGACCAGGCACAAGATCAAACCAAACTAATAATACAGGGGAGCACCCCCTAACATGACACAAAACTTAATGTTGAACCACTGAAGTAATCCTCATTAAGCCAAGCATTTATAGGCGCCATTAGAAAATAGATAAATGGGGGAATGAAGCTGCGGTTTTACGTTTGCGTTCAAGAGGGTGTGCGGCGACTCCCAGAATATGCCTCGCTCCCCCACGTGATAGCTTCCGCCTGAAGCCACTTTTGATGGAGCCTGGGAAGGATGGTGAACAGAGTCAGAATCCATTAGTCCAAGAATTATTAAACAACACACATTAAACTCTACAAAACTTTACCTGGAGGATAAGGAAGCTCTGCCGAATATTCACACAGAGGCGCCCGCTTCAGTTCTTTCTGTTTGCCAATAGCTGCCATATCAGCTTCAACATCTTCCAAATCACCTTCTAGTACGTCCAATTCCTTGTCCAATGGAAAACCAGGCTGCTGCCTCTCTCTTAAAACAATCTCACCGATTTTGTTCTTCCTACACTGAATAATTTCTGCGACCGTGTGCAGAGTTGCCTCTGCATTGTGATGTTCGATATAGGCGGAGTTCTTCACATCATCCATGCTGAAAGAAAAAACAAACCCCAAACATTAAGTCGGTAAGCAAACTAATCAAGTCTGGTTAATGAAGGACAGCTACCTGTTGGAGCAATTCAGCCATAGCAGAAATAAAATTTATATAGGCATAGATTTAGCACCCAACTCAAAATGCTCAATCAGTTAACAAGAGATGTAAGTATTTGCTACTTAATATGTATTGCATGATCATGAAGTAGTTAGTTAACACACTCAAAACTGCAATCTTCATCCTGTTGAAGGATTAAAGGTTGTATCATGTCATTTTTCCCCGAGGAAAACTTTTTTTCCTTTTATCACTAGTAACTTCCTAAACTTAACATACTTGAAAAAGCAGGGGAAAAAAAATTTACAGGCAATAGCAGCTACCAAATATTGAGGGAGGGGGGGAGGGATTGAAGTTTTGCTTCGCTGCTGCTCTGAACCCAAAAGTTGTAGCTTCCATCGTGCATGCCTTGCAACTTCTCATACCTTGGAATTGGAGTAGGCCAACAAGGAACCCTAGGCTGGAACACCTGAAAGTGACAGATATCATACCACCCCCTCAATTTAGCGAAGAACTCTAGCTCTTCACTTCTCAAATCGCAGCGCAACATTGCTTTATTATAGCCTATAAACACCCGATTGAAGAAGACAATTTCCGGCTGATCTGGATGCAGAAAAGGTGTAAGACAAGCCAGAACTTCATAGTTACCACACTTTGATGACTTGTTCACCAACCCCTCACATTGTTTCCTCCAAGATTTCTGGTCTTCTTCCAGTCGCCAAATGGTCAAATGAACAGGTACCGTTTCATTTTCTATAGCAATTATGTGCAACGCACCTTGTGAACCGGAAATATACCATCGTGGCTTCACAAGGAATGCAGAAATGTCAATGGGCTTGGGAGGAATATCAGGGCGGAAAGGATTATACACAGCCACGAACATAGGAAACTCGTTTTTCCCTTTAATATACTGCCAAAACAACTCCCCATTGCAGGAAACTAAACTTCTTGATGTAATTCTTAATTGATCATCACAGACAAGAGCTTCCTTGGTCCATTGTCCAGACTCCGAACAAAACACGTCTAGCTTTGTGGCCGTGTTTGGTTCAGCAACTTGATACATACAAACCACCCGGAAGCGATACTCGGAATAAACAAATGTTTCGCCATCTCCTAGATCAAGATTAGTGGACATACGGGGTTCACAAACTAACCTGGGCATCGGTGCATAATAATACACATCCTTCCTCGGCGCTAAAGGAAGAGCAATCCACTCCTTAGTAAATGGATTGCAGACCAAGTACGATCTGGCACTTTCGCTGTCACAAATGCTGAGATCTGCATCCCAAGACCCGCACAAAACCAAGTCCTTGTTGCAATCCAATACTCTAAAATCGTCTCGAACCGTACAAGGCATGGGGGGGAGAAAGCTCAAGATGATAGATTGCAGCTCGGAGGGATCGTCCGGAATAGGTGGGTGGTGGTTCATGCTCTGGTGGTGAGAAACGAAGCGGCGGTTGAAGCGAGGACTGGAGATCAGGGAGACCCACTGCTTGCAGACGAGTTTACAACGACAGGCTGATCTAGGATTGGGGAGGCGAATAAGAATATCTTCTAGGAGATCCAATCCAAGTTTCTTCATCGTCATGGGAGGAAGATCTGCTTTTGAGCTGATTCGTGGTCGTTTTACGGCACGGCGACGGAGGTCGTTCAGCGGCCGATCCCAATCCGAGATGCAGTTTTCGATCGCCATGGCGTAGATTGAAGCAAGATGACGCCGGCGAGGGAGGAGGAAGGATTCGCTGGTAGGCTGCGGCTGGGATTACAACGGAGAAGCCCGGACCGGAAGAGATCTGCAACTCGTAGGTTTTCCTCTTCGACAAAGCCGGCTTTCATCGTAAGAAATACAAGGACCTGTCGTGTCAACCGAATCCGATACATAGCCGGACCAGGAAATAGATCCCTGGAAGGAAAGGAAACAAGCACCTGGAATTGGAAAGCCCAATTCAACCATGACCAGCCCAACACGGGGGAACCCAAAACAGAACAAAGAACGCATGGAACACAACTAATAGACCTAGATTTGGTCCTATAAAAAAAAAAAAAAACCTAGATAGATTTGGACGTCAAATCTAAGGGTTATTTTTTTTTTTCCAAGAAATGTGAAGAGAGAAAAAACTATACAATCTACCCCAAAACCCTCCCAAACAAATACATCAGTAAAACCACCCTACAAAGTCGAAGGAACCGATCTCAAGAGGAGAAAGTAACAGGGCTTTCTGCGCCACTCTATGGGCAGCCCCGTTAGCAGTTCTAGGAACTGCCCTAAACTCTAAGGAAACAGAAACTGAAGACAGGAGCTAGAAGCAATCATGAAGCATCGGACCTCCGTGAGAATCGGAAGAAAAGCCCTGGCGAAGCTGACGAAACACCACTTCAAAATCACCTTCGATGATGACACAAAGAAGGGACTTGGAGACCAAGAGGGAGATAGCGTTCACGTTTGGTCACTGAGACTACAAAAAACATTCAATTTTGGTCACTCGAAATATTTAAATCCGTTGGTGGTACTTCATTTTACTGAAACCGTTCACGTTTGGTCACTCTCCATCCAACTCCGTTAACTTTTGCTGATGTGGCAGTCAACTCTCAAAGTTGACCGTTAACTTAGTGACGTGACAACGGAAAAATTATTAAAAATAAAAAAATAAACATTTATATTTTCCATCTCATTATTACATTCATTAAAAAATAAAAAAATAATAAAAAATCTAATTTCTTATTACATTCATTAAATAATAAAAAACCTAATTTCTTTAGGCCAAAAGGACATAACATGATGACGGGACAGAGGGTTATTAGAAGGAGATAAACCGAAAGCCAAACAAAATCGGGCAATTGGAAAGGAGACCCCAATTTTACACAAATCTGGTGCAGGAAAGCAGATGGCCATCCATTCTGGCGAGGATTAAGTTCACATAGAGCTCTGCACATCGTAAGAGGGAGATCTCCTTGGTGCCTTCACCAGTGACCGGAAGGATTCTGCTCTCCCAGCGGAGGAGGCGCCAGCACGGCTGCAGTTATGGTGAGAGTTTGTGACGTACTTCTTGGACTGCGAGAGCTTGTGGGCGAGGTAGAGGTTGACGGCGTGGAACATCTGGTTAGAGGTGAGGTCGTCGGCCTCTTGGATGATGACGTTGAGCTTGGAGGAGATGCCGGTGGTGAGGCGGCGGAGGCGGGCGGAGAGGTAGCCGGAGACGGGATCGGGGACGAGGTCGTGGAGGAGTAAGGCGGAGGCGGCGAAGCAATTGGACTCGATCAAAGGTCTGAGATTGACGGGGGAAAAATGGTAGAGAAACACGAAATTACTACACCAAACCGATTCTTTTGCAGGTGTGACTTGTGATTTGTTGTCCTAGCAAGTGTTTGGATACTGAGCCATCTACAAACTTCCAATACAGCCTACTTCCAATCCCATTTGTGTTTGGTACGAAGTTGTCGTCCTCGAGCACTCGTTAAAAAGGCGTAAGAAAGAAAAAAAAAGGAGGGGCTAGGCAGAGGAATGGATCCACGGTGTCGGTGGGAGCTTATATCTCGTATTTGTAGAAAAGAAATTAGGTTTTTTATTTTTTAATGAATGTAATAATGAGATGGAAAATATAAAAGTTTATTTTTTATTTTTAATAATTTTTTAATTGCCACGTCACTAAGTTAACCGTCAACTTTGAGAGTTGACTGCCACATCAGTAAAAGTTAACGGAGTTGGACGGAGAGTGACCAAACGTGAACGGTTTTAGTAAACTGAAGTACTACTAATGGATTTAAATATTTCGAGTGACCAAACTTAAACGTTTTTTATAATCTCAGGGGCTAATACCACTACAACACCCGAACTATGCGGAAAATGTCATTTGTGTCCTATAGTTTCCAATATTCCATCTGTGACATGAACTATGATACTTTGTTCCATTTGTATCCTGACAATTTCGTTGACCGTTAAAGATAACAGTTGACCAAACGATTTTCAAAACGACGTCAGATTGTGGTCGACGTGGCAGACAAATTGATGCCACGTCATTGCCACATCATATTTAATAAACAATTAATTTATAAATAAATTTAAAAAAATAAAAAAAAGTTAAAAGCCATCTTCATCGAGTCCTCCTCCCCGATTCCGCCTGTCGCTCCTCCCTCCAATTTCTGGGCGTTGGTTGTTTCCTCCTTCTGGTAACTAAGATGAGAAAGGAAGAAAGCAACTGCAATTTCAACACTTTCCAGCTCTAATTTCTTTATGTTGGATGTGTTCCAACTTCCAACATTTTCCACCTCTTAGCCTTCCGCAATTGCAATTTCAGAAACCCAGCTTCGATTTTGCGTTGAAAGAGAAGCGATGTCGGAGGAGACAGGGGAAAGTATTGATTCACCTTAGTTGGAATAAGAAACTCGCCTCCCTCCGCCAACGTACATTGATTCCTCTCCGTGTCTCCTTGGCTGCTACTGCGACGTGGACTGATGAGAATGATGAGAGCGGCGACGGCGACTACAGATTTCAGACAAGAAAATCCTCCATGGTGGGCGCACCCAGTGAATCGTCGATCTGGAGAAGAGAATTGGTTGCGGCCACAACCTCCATCCTCCCAACGGACTGCTTAGCTAGCGGCGTCCGCAAGAGCAGAGGTGAAGCGTCACGGACGAATCTAGGGTCGGCGCAATCATTGACCTATTCCTCTGTTGCTGCCGGCAGGAACAGATCTGCCATCTTCGGTACTCTGAATCACCATAACAGATTGGGGGTGGGTGGGTATTTTCAAGAACCCAAAATCCTACTACCCTAATCGATGAACAAGAACCCTCCTCCTTCGATCTCTTCTTTCCCTGGGAAAAAAAATAAAAAACCAGACAGATCTGAAATAGTTTTTTTCCGAGCATCCTTGTGAACAGCGGCGACCTCGCCTGTATCCTCGTCAACTTCGGCGTCTTCGAATCACCGACGTCTTCGCAAGATACCCGACCTCGATCGGGTGGATTTCCTCCCACACAAGCGCCTGCTGTTATCCTCTCTTATGGCGATCCGGAAAGATTTGGCCGGAGAAACAGAAAGAAGAAGAAGCCAGACGTTGGTAAAAAATCATTTGAGTTATTGTTTTATTTTTGTAATTTTCCATAATTTTTATTTTTTCCCCTTATTTTAATGATTTTATATGAAAAAATAAATGAAAATTGATAATTAAAATTCCACGTCAGATGCCACGTCAACGATGACTGGATTTTCTGTTAAATACTAACGGTCAACGCCGGTCAACACTAACGGAATAATAGTTCACGACACATATGGAATATTGGAAACAATAGGACACAAGTGGCATTTTCCGCATAGTTCGGGTGTTGTAGTGGTATTAGCCCTAATCTCAGTGACCAACCATGCAATTAACCCCCAAATCTAACATCCAAATCCCACAAGCAAACGGTACCCTAAAGTGTTTTTTATGATGGTCGTCGCCGATAAAGCCTCATCGAGCATCGTTCGTGTTAGCCTCTCTTTGCGGTTGAGATCAGTGGGCTAAGTGGTAGAGTCGTAATGATTAAAGCAAATTCATCTATTCATTTAAATTTGAATTTAATGGTTCAAATTAATCTCATTAAGAAAAGAAAAAAAAAAGTGGGGCAGTTGGAAAATTGTCCACACGTGCATGCTAGGGGTGGGCATTCGGTCGGTTCGATTTCGACCGAACCGAAATTATGATTACTGGGTCTCCGAATTCTCTTAAACCTCAAACCGAATTATAATTCCGTTCGGTCGGTTTAAACCGAATTATAATTCGGTTCGGTTTTTCACACAAAACCGAATTTGTGAAGCTACTTGTATTTTCTCACTTTTAAATTATTTTTCACCCCTAATATAAACAATAAATATCAATTATATGCATTATCAATGATAAAATCAAACTTTTCAACATATAAGTCATAAAACATTTCAAATATTTAAGTCTAAAAACAACTACAAACATAAAAATTAGGGATGGCAAAAATATCCGTAACCGTGGATATCCACCCGAATCCGGCCTAATCGGGTAGGGTAAAACCCGAACCCGAAAGATATTTAGTGGGTATGGGTAAAACCCGAACCCGAATATTGTGGGTAATGGGTGGGCATTGATTTCTCACTATCCAACCCGAACCCGCCCGATTATACAAATGCATATGTATTTTCTCTAGATATAATCATTATTTTTCTCTAACATATTTTATATTTACTATATAAGTATAATATTTTCATGAAATTGTGTTGTTTTAATTAATTTTCTTCATTCTAGTGAATTATTGTCGTACTTTTCCTCTTATGTAATGTGAGAATTCGTGTGAATGTTAACATATTGATTGAAGTTATGAAGAGAAATGATTACCCATGGATAACTGTGGATACCCGAAATCCGAACGGGTATGGGCATGGTTTTGATTTTCTACCCGTTTCACATGTGGGTATGGGTATGGGTAAAACCCGAACTACTTTGGGTAGGGTAACGGATATGCACTATCCGCCCCCGACCCGACCCATTGCCATCCCTAATAAAAATCCACCATTTGGACCTTGCAATGATAGTATTTCGGTTTTTCGGTCGGAAATTCGGAAATTCGGTTCGGTTGAAAGAACCATGGTTTTCGAACTATCCATATTTTGTTTCCGAATTCCGAACCGAATTGCATTAATTCGGTTTCGGTTTATTTCGGTTCGGATTTACCGAACCGTTTGCCCACCCCTAGTGCGTGCAACATAGAGAGGGGAGAGAGTGGTGACGTTAGCCGGTTTGTACTGTTTGTCGGTATAGTTTGTAATGTTTGTGAATCTTATTTGAATTGTTAATCAATTCAGTTTATAACGTTTATCGTTTTACTTTGTCAATTTTTGTCTATCATATTCGTAATGTTTATATCACTAATTTATAAAACATTGTAATTTTTAAAGTTTTTTTTTCCTAGTTTGTATACTTTATATTATGATTTGTATTTATTCGTTTGTAATA